TCATTGAAATCACTTAACCCTTAGGACAAACTTGGACATCACTGCTAGCCTCCCAGTGAGGGAGACGGGTGGGGGAGAAAGAAAGAAGAGTTGGAAGGAGGAGGTAGAAAGGAAAGGAGAAGAAAGACATTACTCTGTATTCTTAAAGAAGTGTTTACAAATGAACCCTCCCCCGAGGAAAGGACCAAAAGCTGGGCTTTTCTTTTAATCGGGGTTATGAGGTGCTGTTTGTAAAACAGGTTTAATGAGGTGCTGCAAGGAGGCACCATAGTGTTTTGTAGCTGTATTTCAGTTGACAAGCGACAACCACCTTCACATTTTGTAGAACTTGCTCAACCGACCTACAATGCCAGGCTGTATGTCTACCAGTGTCTTCACCAATGCTGATAGTGAGACTGTCACAGCCTTCACCCTACATTAGGTAGTGATCACTAAGGACTTAAACCCATAGGAACTCTAGTTAGCAATATTGACCAAAGTTGGCCTTTCACTTATAGAACTAATAACTGACAGGGTGAAGATGATACAAAAGGTTATCAGAAAGTGAGCCATTAAAAATACAAAATGGGGGCTGGAAGGGCATCTCAGCAGTTAAAAGCACTTGCTCCTCTTCCAGAGTATCAGCACGCCATTCCCAGCACCCAGTTGGCGGCTCACAACCTTCTATAACTCCAGTTCCAGGGCTCTGAAGGCCTCTGCGGGCATATCACACAGCATTCATTCAGCCACGCACACACAGTACATTAATACAAATAAGAGTGAATGTGAAAAAAGAGCATGAGCATAAATAATGTGCCTAAGTATCTTATCATAAACACTCCTCATGCTCATGAACCATAGCAACAAAGTATAAAAGGAAGAAAGTTTTATTTAAACTATTCAGGTCCAAAATTTATTTTTAATAGATACAATAAAAACACTAAAAGCTCTAAACTCAAGGGTTTAAGAAAGTGAGGATTCAAGAACTATTGCATCTCACTGTTTCCATGTAACCAGCAGTGACAAGTACCCAGCATCACCCACACCACTGTAACACACAGTGTTTCTATCTTATTCTGTAACAGGATTTCTTTTTTGAATTATTATTTTAAAGGAAACAAATTCAAAGACTTCGGGGTGATTTTTAACTGACTGCTTTTCTTCCCTATAGATTCTAATTTTTAGAGTTTTACAGTTTAATTCTAAAAGGAAAATATGACTGAAATTAAACTCAACTGAAAGACTCCTTAGGCGGCCTCAGTAATCACACACAATTTTCTATGTTTTTAACAGGAAATCTGTTTTTCCCCAAGAAATGTTAGTTTATAAGGAGTTGAGGGATGGCTCCCCCACTAAACTGCCTTTAAAGGAACAGAACTGCAGAATTTCCCTCTGGAGTACTGATCCTATGATTTTTGGCCAGACACTATGTAGACCAACGTTCATAAGAATTTTAAGAAGGCAAAATAAAGACAGACAAGTAAATGATTGAATATATCCTTATTTCTCCACATACAACATTGTTGCTGTTTTCCTAAGATGCATAATTTCATTATTCTCAGCCAAAAGATTGAAGGTTTATATGAAATGCACAGGGGTGCTCCATGAAGGCTCTTGTACTTGCATCAGTGTTAAGAGTCATGCTCTGTCAGATGTGGGGTTGATGAAGAACTTTTCCCATGGGCTGCTGTTTTGTCTTGTTGACTGTGTCCTTTGCCTTACAGAAGCTTCTCAGTTTCTGGAGGTCTCATTTATTGTCAATCTCAGTCTCTGTGTTACTGGTGTTACATTCAGGAAGTGGTCTCCTGTACCAATTCATTCAATGGTACCTCCATTTTCTCTTCTAAGAGGTTCAGTGTGGCTGAATTTATGTTGAGGCCTTTGATCCATTTGGAGTTAAGTTTTGTGCACGGAGATAGATAAGAATCTATCTGCAATCTTCTACATGTCAGCATCCCATCATGCCAGCACCATTTGTTGAAGATGCTTTCTTTCTTTCCATTGTATAAGTTTAGCTTCTTTGTCAAACATCAGGTGTTCATAGGTGTTTGGATTAATATCAGGGTCTTCAGTTCAATTCCATTGGTCTCCCTGTCTGTTTTTGTGACAATACCAAGCTGTTTTCATTACTATAGCTCTATAGTAGAGCTTGAAGTCAGAGATGGTGATGCCTCCAGAAGTTCCTTTATTGTACAGGTTTTTTTTGTCTAGTCTGGGTTTTTTTGTTTTTCCATATAAAGTTGAGTATTGTTCTTTCAAGGTCTGTGAAGAATTGTGTTGGGATTTTGATGGGGATTGCATTGAATCTGCAGATTGCTTTTGGTAAGATTGCCATTTTTTAGTGTGTTGATCCTACCTATCCAAGAGCATGGGAGATCTTTCTGTATTAGATAGACACAGAGCAAAGAAGTAGCAGCCTACAATCTACAAACCCAGAGCAGCTAGGAAACAAGGAAGACCCTAAACATGGTCCCCTGAAGAAGGGGAAAAGGACAAGATCTCCTGAGCAAATTGGGAGAATGGGGTGAGTGGGGAGGGAGGTAGGAGAAAGAGGAGGGAGAAAGGGGAGGAAACAAGAGGGATCAGGAAGATTGAGTTGGGAGCATAATGGAGAAGGAGAGCAAGAAAAAAGATACCTTAATAGAGGGAGCCATTATAGGTCTAAAGAAATCTGGCACTAGAGAAATGTCCAGGGATCCACAAGGATGACCGCAGCTAAGAATTTAAGCAATACTGGAGAGGCTACCTTAAATGCCCTTCCCCTATAATGAGAATGATGACTACCTTAAATGCCATCCTAGAGCCTTCATCTAATAGCTGATGGAAGCACAAGAGAGATTCACAGCTAAGCACTGAGCCAAACTCCTGGAATCCAGTTGTAGAGAGGGAGGAGTGATGAGCAAAAGGGTCAAGACCATGCTGGGGAAACCCACAGAAGCAGCTGACCTGAGCAAATGGGAGTTCATGGACCCCAGTCTGACAGCTGAGGAACCATCATAGGACCGAACCAGGTCCCCTGAACATGGGTGTCAGAAGGCCTGGTGGTCTATGGGGCCTCTGGCAGTGGAAACAGTATTCATCCCTAGTGCATGAATGGGCTTTGGGAGCCCATTCACTATGAAGGGATACTCTCTCAGCCTAGGTACATGGAGGAGGGCCTAGGTTCCCTGTCAGACTTTGATAATCCCTCATAGGAGGCCTCACCCTCCCTGGGGAGTGGATGGGGGTTGGGATGGAGGTTTGTGGGGGGAATGGGAGGGAGAGGGAACTGGGATTGGTATGTAAAATAAGATTGTTTTAATTTAAATAAAAATTTATTTTTAAAAAAGAGTCATTCTAATAATAGTTTTCTGCATACGTTATGACAGTTTTACACCTTTTAGGCTCCTTTTTTTTGTTGTTGCTGCTGCTATTGTTTTGTTTTTCTTTTTTGTGGTTTTGTTTTAAAACAGGGTTTCTCTGTGTAATGGTGGCTAGAACTTACTCTGTATACCAGGCTGGCCTCAAACTCACAGAGATCGTTCTTCCTCTGCCTCCTGAGTGCCGGGACTAAAGGTGTGTGCCATCACTGCCTAGCTGGCCTTTTTTTTTCCCAATTGGTTTCACTGGCATTTCCAATTGTCTGTCATCCTGGAAATGATTACATTTTAATTGTGTTTCTTTGCCAGTATTCCATCAGCTCTACATTTCCAGTAAGGTCCTAATGAGATACAATGGATACATTTAAAGGAGGAGAGGGAAAATAATGGTGTTTGAAAACTTATCTATATACTATGTCATCAACATTGATGAATACATCATATAAAATACTAATGGAATTTACTTATAAATAGATGTCTCACTCACACAGCATAGGGCAGAAAGGGGGAAGATTCCAAGATCCATAGCTGTTTCTACTGGATGAACTTCACACTTAAAGACAGAACACGTGTCATTGATTCTAATTGTTTCTTCCTGGTTTCTACCATTTCTGAAAGTCAGGCTTCACAGCTCTGCTTTGTATAAAGTTCGGTTCCTTGCAGACATAAACACAACCTACTGCACAGAAGGCATTACAACCTGCCTTGCACATTCATGGTTTAAAATAAATATGCACTGAGATCACAGTCCCTGAGAATGGTAACCACCTGCCCAGTGCAGCACACTTCCCTAGTCTCTATAATTATAGATCTGCTCACTGTGTACAAGAGCAAATTATTCCATTAACTGCTGGCAAATTAAAAAAATCAGGCTTAAATCTTTCTGAGTTTTACAACACAGCAGAAAATAGGCAGTTTTATAAAATAAATAACTAATTTCTAATACCTGACTCCAAAGATGAAGTGTCTGAAATATTTCTCTTATATTTTTTTTGAGTAAATTCTACCTATACATAAGAGGAAGAGTAACCCTCTCAAAGTAAATGTAGTTCACTCATTTGTCCTCTCTCAGAGAAGATATTCCAGAAAATCACTGATTAATTTCCATACCCCAACTCCCTTTACTGAAACTAGTGTAGACAGAGACACCTTTAACTGTGTGCCCTTCTTCCCACAGTCCCAGGCCCACAACGATCATCATTTAGGCCCTGGGCACAGAGCTCTCCCCTGGCCATGCATCAGGATGCCAGGGAATATTTAAGATAGCAACTAAAAATGTCGAGTGGCTTGCTTCCACTGTAAATGGCTCCATATAATAGTAAAACATGTTCCTTCCTCACTGTTTCTAGGTCTCCTTTGCCCATCTGTTAAATCACCATTTCTAAACTGTTACCAGTGAATGAGAAAAGACACCCAAGTAGCCATTTTGTCAAAAGCAAGCAGAAATGTGCAGAATGAGATGCATTCTACACCAACCTGGGGCACTCAGAGCTTAATTAATTTTCAGTTAATTCCTAATAATGATTGTATCACACTGGGGTTCAGATGAACAAACAGGTTATCGCTCCCCATTAATTTTTCTTTGCATAGTTTTGCCCAATTCAACTATCATATTTAAAATGTCACCCCAAGTGAGTGTAGGCTGTAGACAGTCAAACTTACCTGAGGCACGCCTTGTGAACCGGTTTATAACTGGAGCTAAAAGAAAAGAGCAGAATAATATGATTAGGTTTTTTTTTTTAATCTTATTTATCCCCAAACCAAAAAAGACTCAAAGCAGTTAAGTAATTCTAAAATTTCAATATAAATTGGAAGGTATAAATAATACAAGAGTAAATATAAACCATATAAAACTAAATGATCAGAATAAAGCACTTACTACCAATAAAGGAAATAAAAATCCCTAAAGAAATGTAACATAAAATCAGTGTTTGACCTATCAAATTAATGTCTGCTAAAGACTTTAAATAAAAACTCTTTGTTAAAAGAATGTTGATGCCACCTAACTGGAACAGTCTATAAATGCCACTGGAAGACAATGCAGCAACTACATCAAGTGCCAGCTCAGCTCTGTGTCTTTTCACAATCAGCTCTGAGAGGTGGGTCCTGAAGAAGTGCTACTAGCGAGAGAAAGTAAGTGCTTCACATAGGAGAAAGGAAAAGCAACGTGTAATCAGCACAGTTAAGCAGCAGCCATTTTTAAAGGAAACAAAACTGAAGATGCTCACGGAAAATAAACACACAATTAGGTGAGGGGTAGTCTCTTCTTGCCAGTCTTAGCCTGAATAGTGTGTGTGTGTCCATGACACTCAAAATCTTATTTATCCCAAGCTCACACAGACAGCTGCAGTTACAGGCGAGGGCATGATGTGCTCCTCTGTCTGCCCACACCTGGATTCTGCTCAGTTCTGGGTTTCTTCTTGGATTTGCAGACATAATTATCTCAAGAAATGGAAAAGGGTTGACGTTCTTTCTAAAGTTCCCTTTCTTAAGAGAAGTGGGTGAATGAGTGACTTGCATTATATAAAATGGCCACCTATTAAAACAATATGTAAGCTGGGAGTCATGGTGCATGTCTTTAATCTCAGCACTGAGGAAGCAAAGGCAGGCAGATCTCTGAGCTCAAGGCCAATCCTTCTACATGGGGACTTTCAGTTCAACCAGGGCCACACCTTGTCTCAATCAATCAATTAGTATATGGTAGCAAAATTATATAGTCCAACTTGTCCAAGATACAAAATTCTTATTTCTATTTTATACACCACAGTAATTCAGCAGAAATGAATTACTTATACAAGCAACTTTAACTAGCACACACACACACACACACACACACACACACACACACACACACAGTGCCCATGGTTTCCATGAATACTTTAAATCCCTTTTTGTACCCTTAAGAAGGAAGTCCTAACAGAGCCTCCCTCCAAGGCTTACAAGGACAACATCTGAGTCAGCCACAGGGATGCAGAGGAGGCAGCATGGACAGGGGAAGGTAAAGACCTATCACAGCCCTGGACCAGAATACAAACGCCTTTCTCAGTGCCCCACCCCACCAGCCTCTTCAGAAGATGACTCCACTATGGCCTTTGATGTGGTATGTTCCCCAGAGCCTTATGTTTCTGCATTTTTTTTTTAAAGGAAGATTTCCCACAATGGTCCTATCGTCTAGAACATTTTTTTCCTTTTGGGAGGGAACAAAGTCAAGGGTCTTGAACATACTACCACAGGCCCCACCACACCCCCTACACACTCGGATGTTTTCTGAATTTGTGGAAACTATTTCAATTGTCACACTAATTCAGAGCAGAACCCTGACAGCCATCCTCAGGACAGTCCTGCATCGGGGAGTTGTGTTCTATGACTTCCGTTACTGTTTTCTCTTTGTGTATGTGGACACTGCGTGTTCATGCATGCATGGTGCTGCACAGCACAGGACAACCTTCAGTTTTCATGTTCACCTTCTATCTTGTTTGAAACTTTCTCTTAGAGCTGTTGGGTTTTTTTCTCTATATATGCCAACCTAGCTGGTCCACAAGCTTCTAGAAATTCTCCTGTCTCTGCCTCCTATTCCCACAGAGGAGCACTGAGATTCCAGACCCACTCTCATCAACATGGCTCTGTGTGGTTTTCAGAAATTGGAACTCAGGTCTACACAATTTCATGGTAAGCTCTTTCACATCTTGCCAGCCCCTCTGTGGCTTTTCAATAACCTGCTAGACATTCAAGTCTCAAAAGTCTATTTGTAACCCACGTGAGCCTAGATCCTAACCATGTTTACACAGACACATGACTACTTCATGCTGTTTTAATATAGATCAGCATTTCCCCAGTAATGGCCTATCGAGATGGCTCCATAGATAAAGGAACTTGCTGCATTGGCCTGGAGATCTGAGATCCATCCCTAGAACAATGTAAAAGTAGAAAGAAAGAGTAAACTTCATAGAACTGTCATGACTTCCACGTGTATACTGTGACACCCTCCCATATACCCCCACACCCACACCACACAGACACACACACCAGACACACACATCTACACCTTCCACACTCCACAAAACACACACCCCTCCATACCACACACACCAGACACACCCCCACACACCAGACACACTCACACACACACCAGACACACTCACACACACCAGACACACACCCCACACCTCCACACCACACACGAGACACACCCCCACACACCAGACACACCACACACACACACACACACACACACACACCACACACGAGACACACACACACACTTCCACACCAGACACACCAGACACACACACCCAAGACACACACACACATACAAGACACACACACACACACACACACACACACACACACCACACACCTCCACACTCCACACACACAGACATCATGAACACATATGAACAGTAATATAGCTTATTATTATTAATACTTTAACTTCTCCAGCAGAACAACAAAAATCAAAAGATTAAGTTTTCTTTCTTTCTTATATTTGTTTTGTCTGGAATTTTACTTTTACGTGGTTTTAGAAAACTATTCTGTTGCTGCCCTCCCATATGTGGTACATGAGTGACCAGAACAATCCATTTGGCCAGACTCCACCCATAACATTCATGTTCTTCAAGAGTCCCATGTGGTGGGAGAATCTAATCGAGCTGCCTTCTTCTTCATATGCTAAAGCATACACCCTCTTAAATGCCACAAAGTATACTTTGAATGTCCTTCACAGACTTTATAATACTGTGTCCACTTTTGAATTGTAAGCATGCAAGACAAATGATGATTCACACAACTTGGCAATTCATGGGGCCTAGAAATGGACAGTTACCAAGATGAGTCATGACAGGGCAGGTAGTTTACAACAGTCAAGACACATACAGGGCTTGACAACAAAATTCCAGTCCTAAATGTCTATACTCATGCTCTCTTTAAGAGACAAAAGCAACAAGTCTTTTCTGCATACACTTGTAGGAAGTTAAGACCTCACACTTTTTCTGGAGTTTTAATCTAGTTAGCAACATAAAGAAGGCTGGAAGTAGGTGCAGTTGGCCAAGCAATGACCTACGTGCTTTCTCTCAGGAGTCATGCCAGGGAAGGGAATAGGAGGCAGGCAAGAATGAACAATGCACACGTCACTGTGATGAAAGGTGGGGAAGTCCACGGAGGCCTGGGCTGTAACGCTGGTCCACTGAATCACTCCCATGGAACCTGATAATCATTTAACTTTACTTACAAAATCTCAACAGTCAGATCCTCTATGTCCCACTAGACTCACTTTAGTTCCTGTGCTCCCAGGAAACTAGACAACTGACTTGAGTCCTCCTCCACCCCGGAGTATCCTTGAGAAAAAAGGTTCCCACACTTGAGGGAAACTGAAGGTGTGTCTCCATTCGCAGCAGGGAAACAGCCTCCCACAGCTGCCTAAGCTCTTCCTCTGTCCACAGAAACTGCTGTTTTACTCTTGGTACCCAAGGTTGCCCTGACACGTAAGAGGTGCTGAGCTGATACCCACCAGATGGACCATTAAACTGAAAAGTACACAGAGCAAGCCTCTGTGATTCTGCCTGAATCCTGGCTGCAGGGTGGACACAGGCATGGTGATTCTGACAGTCTCTGCCCCTGAAGGGCTGAACCAAGTCTAGTCAGATTTCCAATACAATTGCTTCCAGGGCTTACCAAACTTAGGAGAAAATACGTGAAAGAGAAATTCAGTGAAGGCTGAAAAGCAAGATAGTTCACAAGGCAGAGGCAGTCAGTTAAAAGCACAAAGCAATGAGACCTGTCTTCAAAACTCATGGGCACTGTTTTCATCTCTGAGCAGGGCAGACCGCGGGGGGGGGCCCCCCCCCCCCCCCCCCCGGCCACTTGAGCCTGTACAAGCAAACAAAAAGTCACAGTGGATAAATAAAGGGGTCTTTTTGAGAAAAGTGTTTATATGCCCTACAGTAAAATACATTCAACCCTCATAGATTCTGAAAAATAATTAGCATCCCTGCCCTCATAATAGTTGCTTTCTTTTCTTTTTGTAAGAAATAAACACTTTTTATATCTGTTAGCTGCCTAAATAAAAGATTGGGAAAACTGTAAATGGAAATGCATAAACTAATTATTTTTGAAAGAATACTTAGTTCAGAATAAACTAACTTATGTCTATGTTTCAAAAATTAAATAAAGTTCACCCTTGAACCAAGAAAAAATAAATTTTTAAAAGGTCATCAGCAGCCAAGCATTGGTGGCACATGCCTTTAATCCCAGCACTCGGGAGGCAGGGGCAGGTGGATCTTTGTGATTTCGTGGCCAGCCTGGTCTATAGAAATAGTTCACCAAGTAGCAAAAGGCTCTTGTGGCCAGAGTCTGGCAAGGCCTTGTCCTCCCCCATTCCCTCTGCCTTGCTAAATTGTGCTTTACATCCCTAAAGCTAGCCACCAAGGTCTTTTCCCTTATTTGGCCACTTCCTCCTCCTGAGGCTGCTTACCAAGGTAGAGCTATCAAAGTATTAAAGTCCAGCAATCAAAAGTCCCCTTTTGGCTGCCCTAATTTACATGCCCAATCAAAACAAACCAACTCATCCTAACATGGGGATTTCCCTTTTTTCCTTTATAAACTGCCATTTGTCTGTGGGCCACATCTGTTTCCTCTCTATCTAGAGGCTGTCCTTTGTCTCCTCTCCCTGGTTCCTCCCTCATCCTCTACTCCTATCTTTGTCTCTCATTCCCTGCCCTCATTCCCTGTGGGGCAAATAAATCGCCTTTGTGATCAGAACTTGGTCTTGGGGTGTTCTGTGATGATTCCAATCCTTTCATGTATACTTTGTTCAATTCTTGGTCCCCAAAATACCATTTACTTTCTATTATTCTACTAAAAGCTGGTGGGTCTCTATTACACCTACAAATACTTGAATATACTCAATACAGTCCCACATGTACTAGCCTCTAGAGGGGAACATGAGGGCAGCATCACAACTAGAGGGAGCTTCTCCAAACCCTAAGGGCTGATACATGGATTATGAACCACATACCTCAAAGTATGCCTTAGCCTTAGGTGGCTTTTGAAGTGTGGGCATCTGAGGAGTCTTGGCCTTAGGTGGTTGTGTGAGGTGTGGGCATCTGAGGTGTGTTAGCCTTAGGTGGCTGTGTGAGGTGTGTGCATCTGAGGGACACTATTTTCAGGAGGAATATAGGCCAGTGTCCATCCTACCTGCTCACATGGATTGTGGCTGGAAGTAGGTCAGAGTGAAATGCAATACAGTGCTTCAGCTTTTAGAATGGTCCAACTTGAATGAGCACTAAAAAGACCTACAACTTTGTTCCATTTGTTAAACCAAATGCCTCCAGATATAACTGATATAGGTAGCGACAAACCAACTAGCAAAGCACATTTTTGTTTATGAGTGAACAAAAGGTAACTCACAAGAACCTTGCTGACAATGCTCTCTTAGAGAGAGAGAGAGAGAGAGAGAGAGAGAGAGAGAGAGAGAGAGAGAAAACAGTTTCAGCTAGGGAAGTCCCAACATGGCCGACCTTACAGCACCATACAGACACAGGCAGGGACAAAGGCCAAGGGAAAAGGGTTCCAAACTCTCCAAATACCTTCTTCTTGGGAAAGACACTGTCCAACTACAGAAATTAAACCTCTGTGATTCCATGCACCAAGCCCTCCTCTGATACAGCAGGGATGGCACGGTAGAGGCAACAGCCAAGGGCTGTTTCCATCTGGGAGGTGGATAACCTAGACAGAATAGACTAGCAATTCCAGAAGTTCAGAGTTCTAATTGCCACACACATAAAGTCACAGCAAAGGCCATTTTGAAAAATATAAAAGCTTTGGAGGGGCATGACAATGACCTCCTCCTAAAACAGTCCTGGAACATACCCACAGTTGAGTTCCCTGGGTCTTCAAAGAATGAAGATGTCCCTGTCACTTCAGACTTAATCCAAGGAAGCACTTCTGGAATAATTGTGTATAACAGCTGTCTAAAGATATCTAGTGTTTTTTATTGCCCATCTCTTCCTAAATTAGCTCCATGGGGCTGGGGTCTTTCCTGATCTGTGTGTCCACTAATCCCCAGTACTTACATGTACACATTTGGACCACAAATCTGAAGGAACTATGCAGATGGAAATTTACCAACAAGCAGGTACTACAGAACTAAAGACCATTCAGACAAATGAAGGAGATAGTTACAAAGTGTTAAATTGACGAAACTCACACATTACAGCACTGGCTGGAAACACTCAGTAGATTTAAAAGTAGCAAAAGCTGACAACTCTTTGGCTTTGTTTCCTGCCAATATCAAAAAGCATTCTTATTTATGCCCCATTTCTTTGAAAGGGGAACCTGGATTTTGGTTGGCAACATTACAAAAGAACTATCATAGCAATGGTATTTCTCGGTTAAAGACCAGAAAACAGGGATCCAACACCATCCATGGTTCTGCTTTTCTTTAGTTGAGGCAAAATTAACATCCTACGACATGTACCATGCGATGAGCTTTTACAAATGTCCTAAGCCATGTGCACAACTTCCCAAAGTAGATTTAGGCATTTCGACACTGGACAGTTTCTATGCCTGTTAGTCAGTTCCCTACCAATCAATGGGAATCTCTATGTAATTTCCCCACAACCTTTGCATTTTCCCTGTCTGGGAACTTCATTTAAATGTGAGGTTCTTTCTTGCTGCTGGCAGCATCAACAGCTCATTTGTTTCTATTGCTTAATAGTATCCCTTTGAAAGAGAATATCATAATTTATTTTACCTATTTTCCTGTTGATGGACATTGTTTCCAGTTCAAATAAAACTCCAGTAAATATTCTCACAGGGATATTTGTAAGTCTATACTTTAGGCATGCAGTCTATCTACTTTGCTATAGGCTTACAACATACACAGGCAGGTGCGAGCTGGCCCACCTCACAGCCAACCCAAGATACTGTCTTATTTAGCCCTTCCAGTACATATGTAATGCTGTCTCATCACAACTCTGATCTTCACTTCCCTAATAACTAAAAATACTGAATTCTATTCCATTTGCTGGTAAGCTACTCTAAGGATTTCCTTGTTGATATGCCCAAAGTTATTATCTTTGGTTAGAATATGTAATAGTAAAAAAAATGCAATGTGTAATGGAAAAAACTCCAGATGTCATAACAATAGTGACAAAATATTTAAGAATAAAACCAGTGAAAGATAGAAAACTCCTCCATAAAAAAGTAGACCAGTCTGGCCTTGAACTCACAGATATCCACCTGTCTCTGCCTCCTGAGTGCTGGGAATAAAGGCATGTGCCACCATCACCCAGACATAAAATATTCTTCTTACAAATGAGTTTTTGCTAAAGTTCAAACACTAAAATACCTTTTGAATTATTTTTTATAAATTTTATTTAAATTAGAAACAATCTTCTTTTACATATCAATCCCAGTTCCCTCTTCCTCCCATATTCCCATACCCCCCACCAACCCCCCAAACCATCCTCCATCCACTCCCCAGAGAGGCTGAGGCCTTCCACGAGGGATCATCAAAAAATCTGTCAAGTCATTTGGGGCAGGACCTAGGCTCTCCTCCGTGTATCTAGGCTAAGAGAGTATCCTTCCTTGGGTAATGGGCTCCCGAGGTCCATTTGCGCACTAGGAATACATCTTGGTTCCACTGCCAGAGGCTCCATAGACTGCCTAGTCCTCCTAGCTGACATCCATGTTCAGGGGGCCTGGTTTGGTCCCATGTTGGCTCCCCAGTTTTCAGACTGAGGTCCATGAGCTCCCACTTGCTCAGGTCAGCTGTTTCTGTGTGTTTTCTCAGCATGGTCTTGACTCCTGTGCTCATCACTCCTCCCTCTCTATAACTGGATTCCAGGAGTTTGGCTCAGTGCTTAGCTGTGGATCTCTGCTTCTGCTTCCATCAGTTACTGGATGAAGGCACTAGGATGCCATTTAAGGAAGTCATCATTCTCATTATAGGGGAAGGGCATTTAAGGTAGCCTCTCCACTATTGCTTAGAATCCCAGCTGGAGTCATCCTTGTGGATCTCTGTATAATTCCCTAGTGCCAGATTTCTCTTTAAACCTACAGTAGCTCCCTGTATTGATGTGTCTCTTTTCTTGCTCTCCTCTATTCATCTCCTGACTCAATCTTCGTGATATCTCATGTTCTCCTCCCCCTCCTTTTTCTCCTACCTCTCCCTCCCCCATGCTCCCAACTTGTTCAGGGGCTCCTGTCCCTTTCCCCTTCACCATGGAACCATATATGTCTCTCTTATGGTCCTCCTTGTTACCTAGCTTCTCTGGCAGTGAGGATTGTAGGCTGGTAACCCTTTGCTCTATGTCTAATATCCATATATGAGTGAGTACATACCATGTTTGTCTTTTTGTGACTGGGTTACCTCGCTCAGGATGGTTTCTTCTAGTTGCATCCATTTGCCTGTGAATTTCAAGATTTCATTGTTTTTTTTTTGTTTTTTTTTGTTTTTTTTTTTTTTTTCCTGCTGAGTAGTACTCTATTGTGTAAACCTACATTTTCTTTATCCATTCTTTGGTTGAAGTGCATCTAGGTTGCTTCCAGGTTCTGGCTATTACAAACAATGCTGTTATGAGCATGGTTGAACAGATGTACTTGTTGTATGAATGTGCATCCTTTGGGTATATACCTAACAGTGGAATTGCTGGATCTTGAGATAGACTGGTTCCCATTTTCCTGAGAAACCACCATACAGATTTACAAAGTAGCTGTACAAGTTGGCACTCCCACCAGCAATGGAGGAGTGTTCCCCTTTCCCCGCATCTGTTCGAGCATAAACTGTCATTGGTGTTTTTGATTTTAGCCATTCTGACAGGAGGAAGACGGTATCTCAGAGTTGTTTTGATTTGCATTCCCCTGATGACTAAGGATGTTAAGCACTTTCTTATGTGTCTTTCAGCCATTTTAGATTCCTCTATTGAGAATTCTCTGATTAGTTCTGTACCCCACTTTTTAATTGAGCTATTTGGTGTTTTGGTGACTAGTTTCTTGAGTTCTTTGTATATTTTGGAAATCAGCCCTCTGTCAGATGTGGGGTTGGGGAAGATCTTTTTCCATTCTGTTGGCTGCTGTTTTATCTTGTTGACTGTGTCTTTTGCCCTACCGAAGCTTCTCAGTTTCAGGAGGTCCCATTTATTAATTGTCAATCTCAGTGTCTGTGCTACTGGCATTATGTTCAGGAAGTGGTCTCCGTGCCAATTCGTTCAAGGGTACTTTTATAAATCCCACTTTCTCTTCTAAGAGGTTCAGTGTGGCTGAATTTTTTTTAAAGAGTTATAAAGCAATTACTGCAAAATTAGTAAAAATTGGAAGTCCTAATATTTCCTAGTGTTAAGACAGTAGATTTAGAAATCAAAGAGCTGGGGCTGGAGAAATGATGGCTCAACCATTAAAAAGTAGGCTGATAACCAAATATATAAAAATCAAACATCTGTGAACAACTGGGTCTGTAAGCTAAGACCCAGAAGGACTATTTATTTATCTCCTTCTAACCCATATTAAGATATTGGTTACACTTGAGTAAGGATAGAATTATGGGTTCTGGTAATAAACCACGAAGTAAAGTTAACTTGGAGAGGTATAAATCTGTCCCTTAATGAGCTTACTTTTATAAATACTACAACAAGAAGCTGCCAATGTAGCACAAAGATTTTCCCAATTAATTTATATTTCAGGCATTTATTTCTGACTTTACTATGAGCTCCTGTCTCGTTTAAATAAAGTAGCATTCCCCTTTAGTAGTCTTCCTATTCACTCTGTCCTAAATTGTTTCAAAATGACTTGTTAAAGCTTAAGTAAAGCCGGGCGTTAGTGGCGCATGCCTTTAATCTCAGCACTCGGGAAGCAGAGGCAGGTGGATCTCTGTGAGTTCGAGACCAGCCTGGTCTCCAGAGCGAGTGCCAGGATGATAGGCTTCAAAGCTACACAGAGAACCCTGTCTCGAAAAAAAAAAAAAGCTTAGGGATTTATAAACAAACACAAACTTAATTATTCTAATAATTAAGCCCCTTTCTCAAAGGAGGAGGTGGTATAAAGGTATACAAAGTATAAAACAGGTATAAAAGATATAAAAACAATGCTTTAACTCATGACTTTCTCGTCATTCTTTTGTATTGGGGGTAGGAACAAAAACATTCCCTCAATTGTAACCCTGAATGTGAAACCTTTCCAGGCAAGTCATGATTGGGTGCCTGGGTTCTCTGCAATTTGAGAACAGCCAAATGTCAGATTCAAAGACAAAATAGGCTTGTTTTTAATATAATAAAATCTAAATCTATGAGAGAAAACAGAAAAAAGACTAAAGCCTTTATGCTTCATGAAATCACCTTTAAATGCTCTGATGTAAGCAAGCATTAGCAGACTAGCATCAGGGACATCATTTACACACATCAGGCTCCATCGCTTTACATTTACATGTATTTCATATTAGGCATTTCATATTCAGATGAGTTTTAATTGAAAAAAAAAAAAACCCTGACCACCTACAACTGGCAAAGTGCAACACACAGAGGAAAACTCTTAGGGAACAGTGTTTTCCTGCACTTCCTACTGTTTGCAGTCTATAAAGCTCCCTGTGACTAAGTGCATGTGACACCATCAGTATCAATAAAGAACCTGAAATGACATGATTTTGCTCGAAGACATGAAGTGGGAAGCAGGCTCAGGACATGGAGAGAGGGGCAGGCTCAGGACATGGAGAGAGGGGCAGGCTCAGGACATGGAGAGAGGGGCAGGCTCAGGACATGGAGAGAGGAGCAGGCTCAGGACATGGAGAGAGGAGCAGGCTCAGGACATGGAGACAGGGACAGGCTCAGGACATGGAGAGAGTGACAGGCTCAGGACATGGAGAAGGAAACAAGCTAAGGACATAGAGAGGGAAGCAGGCTCAAGATAAAATGTTATTTCTGAGATCTTCTAGATTTATTTATTGTCTGCATTTATTTTAAAGTTTTGTCTTTTTTCCACTATTGATCAGCATTCTTACAACTTGGTGATCCCTCATTAAACATAAATAACATGATTCTCTTTTCTTGCCCACAAAGGTAGTGCTCTACAATTTAAGTCAGAGTTCAAGATACACCTAGCAATACAGATTTACAAGAGAGGCTTTTTAGGTAAAGTTATTTATGTCCTTATCGTAGGACAAAATTTCCCTCCATATCCCACCAATCTTCTGTGCTAGTGCACACATACATTGAGTGTCATGGTCTCTGTAGGTCCTTTGTGGTCTAGCCACTTAAATGTGGACACCAGAGTGGATCACAGTTACCAGTTAACAAAGTCCCCAGTTGTGGCATTTAAGCTTAGTCCTCAAAGTGTAGTTTCTGCACTGTGAAGCAGTATAAAAATCAACCCTTTAAAAGTTTAAAAAGCAAAGGCAAAATGGAAAATGAGAGCATGTCTACAGAGACTTCCTCCTCTCTGAATCATATACTGTGGGACACTTCCTCTCACACACAGTAAGTTAATATATTGGTACACTTATAAAATTTATAAATACATATTGGGAGTATACACTCAAATGCATTTTTCTAGTTAAGGCATAATACCATGCATTTTTCAAAATAAACAGAGTATTTCCATATATTTCTAAATACCATAGTCCCAGAATATTTTACTGAGGTGCATGAAGCACTAATCTGGGCAGAAAAGATGAAATAATTAGATTGTAAAAGGGAGAGATCCGATGGGCGTCGGTGGCGCACGCCTTTAATCCCAGCACTCGGGAGGCAGAGACAGGTGGATTTCTGTGAGTTTGAGGCCAGCCTGGTCTCCAGAGCGAGTGCCAGGATAGGCTCCAAAGCTACACAGAGAAACTCTGTCTTGAAGAAACAAAAAAACAACAACAAAAACAAAAAGGGAGAGATCCGTGCAAGGCCGGGATGCATGTTTTCCAGGGCAGAGTAGGTAGCTTGTTTCTTGGTTTGTACTCTAAACCCTGTGACTTCAGTGAGAGCTGAAAACGGCTCACAGGCACCACCTGGTTAGGTAAGGAGCACAGCTGCCAGCTCCAAATCCTGACTCCACCACTTACTTTGGGGAAGATGAAACAACAAGTCTCTAACAGCCCTTGTTTAGCACGGGGATGTAAGGAGCCCCAGAAGTTCAGAATAATTATTAATAAATAAAAAAACACCATTTAACATTGGCCCTCTACAATAGTGGGAATGAAATGGCTGAGTCATATTTTAAATTAACTTGACCTTTTGAAAGGTGTTTTCTGGATCTACTAATGTTTAACTAAGTGGAAGCTTTTTTCCCTGAAAGAAAAATCCCTTAATATCACTCTCATGAACTGTTCCATCTTGGAACAGCTGATGTAAACTAAACAATGTCAGACCCAAACCAAACAGACACAGGAATAACTCTACACGGCTTGTCTTCTTGGCTTCACTATCAAGAGGAATGTGTGTTTACATTTTGATCTTTTGTCCTTTTTTAAATTAAACGTTTTGAAAGAGCAGCAACTGGAATGGCTTTTTAAAAGTTTTCAAACATACTAAGCCACACACGGTAGAGCCTACTGCTTGAACATTCACAAACACCGCACCAACTGTGTTTACAGCCAATTTTTCATGTTAGTTTTGCTTTGATTTTAAATTTTATTTTCATGAATTAATTAATTGATTGATTTGAGACCCCTCTGTAGATCAAGCTAGCCTCAAACTTATAGCTGATTTTTAAGCTATGTTTTCATTTTAACCTTGGCCTGAAATTTTTAGCTTTAGTTATTTCTAAAAATTACATAATGAGACAGTTATTTGGAAATTCTGAGACAAAAATTTGATCTCATAAAATAATTATACTAATAATCACATCACAATGATGGTTTACTGTGGGACAGGACTGCAAAAGGCTAGAACATGACAAAACCCAGCAGTATCACTGCACTCTGGCTTTTTCCTCACTGTCTCTTAGGTTTATTTTATTTATTTATTTATAATTTTACTTATTATAAAGTTTTGTTGCAATGAAAAGCAGTCAGAGCAAACAAACCCCTAGAAATTATAAAGCAATATGTACTTTTCTTTAGTTCGGGCTTTTGAAATGTACCTTGCAATTTAAAGGAGGGGAAAAAGAATTCCTAATACAGGAGTTAATACAAATAACACACAAACTGACATATGAACAAGGCTAAACTTACAAGCCTGGACCAACTGTATTCAGTTAGGGGCTTCTGCCTCTCAACTGCTTCATCTAAACAAACTCATCACATACACTCTCTATGAAGAGTCTCTCACAAAATTATTAATTCACAGATCCAGAGTAAACTTAAAAGGAAGAAATCCTGGGAGGGAGGGGGAGAGTTTTCTTAGCCGCTGTATAGGCAGTGCACAAGCTCGGCTTTCCACACC